TTAAATGTGATTTTATACAACAGTTCAGTAAATAAGAAGTTGATATTGTGTTGTATTTTAAACACAATATTATCTGGTTTTGCTCAATTTTGCAGAGAACATATTACCTTTAAAGCCATAGCAGAATTGTTGTGCGTCTCCGAGCAACACAGCGGTGTTTAGTTTATGAATGAATCCGAGTTTTGAATTAATCATGTGAACCAATCAGACAAAGCCCCATTCATAAAGAGAGCAGTTTACTTAATTCCTGAATAAATCAGCCGTTCGAATGAATGAATAACTCAAAGACATTTACCGCCACCTGTTGGCAGATTTAGTTTCTTATTTAGAGTATCATTTCATTAAAATAATAAATGCTGTCATTGTTTACTCACCCTCATGTCTTTTCAAACCTTTCTTTTGTGGAACATAAAAGAAGGTATTTTGAAGACTGTTGGTAACAAAGCTGTTTTGGTTACCAATGACTTTCATTGTATGAACAAAAACTACTGAGATGTTTCTCAAATTATCTTCTTTTATGTTCCATAGTTTACGTAAGGCCGTTGTAGCCTAAATCTTTGTGTAATAAATTTTATGTTGAATCAAACAAAATATTTCTTTCTAAAGCTACAATTTGAAATGTCTACTTGGTACTTTCTCATTTAACACAAACATAGCTTTAAATAATCTTTTGTGGGTATTTTCACAGTCAAATTTATTTAGTGATTAATTAGATTAATTAATCGAAACATCATGTAATTAATTAGATTTCAACTTTTAATCGACTGACAGCCCTAATTATATTATATTATATTATATTATATTATATACACTCTTAAAAATAAAGTTTTTTTTTTCCCCGCAGTGATGCAATAGAACAACCATTTTGGGTTTCCCAAAGAACCTTTCACAGTTCCTAACTCTTTCCTTACCATTTACAGAATTTTATTTGTATGAAACAACGCTTACCCACCTTTGATAAAATTTTCTGGTATTCAGTGTTTTCACTGTTATATGGTAGGAGGCGCTATTACACATCTTCTGAAAAAGTACTAAATTTCTGGATCAAAACATGGTGAAGAAGCAGAAACAAGCGATCGCATATGTAAGCAGATGCATATGTAAAATAACTAATAAATAACCTAATGTTACTGAATGAAATGTCGGCCCAGGAAGTGGTATAGGACTGTGCAAGCTTTGGGGGTGCTGATGGACTCGATCTACTTTATCTATGTTTTGATCGTTCACAATCTTATCCGATTTTCTCAGCTTTTTCTTTACAATGTTTATTTTTTATGAAATAATCTAAAGCACCTTCTGTGCAATGGAAAGGTTCCATGGATGGTAAATGTTCTGAGCAGTTCTTGATTCTTTTTGGAGGGCGGTTCAATGAAATTTAGTTCTGTTGTGACAACTCTCTGACAGTTAAGCATGGTAATGTACATGACAATGTTAATGTGTTTGGTCTTGGCGGAATAGATCTGCTACGTTGCTGCTGCTGTGGAAGAGCAAGTACCGAGACTTACTACTACTGCACAGACATGCCGCTGTGAGCATGTAAGAAATACTGCGGCTGCACATATTATATACATGAAATCACCCCATAGCAGATCTATACAGGTGGAGCTGGGGAAGGTGGAGGGTTTCTGAAGCAAGCTGCAACTGCTACAGCAAACACTAGCCAAATATTTGTATGCTGAGCAGCAAGCTCATTGGATGCTGATACGAAAAGAACCAATCAGCTGTGCCATGTGAATAATGATGTCATATGTCAGATTGCGTTAGAACCTATCGTCCTGCGCCATCTAGAGTTTCATGACAGAACTTTGGATTAATATGTTTAGATCGGCTGCCCTCAGGGGATAAAGACAAGCAAAGGGTTTCGGATTGTGAGCACTCTGGTTTTGCCATCAGCCAATCATGATGTCATTTTCCAGTGGCTGCAAAGTCGTTTTTAATGATTGAAGGTCATTTTATCTCTTATTTTAATCCATTTTAGACATAATTCATTATAAACTCCTCATTAGTGTAAAAATCCTGATAGGTCAATTGTATGACTCTAAAATATGGCAGTTCACACATTTGAAATCTTTCCAGCATCCCAATGCTGAGTCTAATTTCAGTATCTTGGGAACGCTCTCCATCTGTTGAATTCTTCAAGTCACAGCATTTTTTCACAGTGCAATGGACAAAGTCAGCGGCAAGGACAATGTCAGTGTACGTTTGTGTTCTCTGAATTGTTAAATCTGCTTACTTGAGTAACTCTCGGCCAATAAGCACTCTTTTGCATTTATCATGTCAGCATCTGTGCTCTGTAATGTCCTGCTGAAAACTCTCAGCAGGATCAAGTTTTGAAGATTACACTCACCTAATTTATGCTAAATACACGCCTAGTACACTCCACAAATATGACGGGGGACAAACGCCTCTATCCCGAGATTTATGTGTCCACTTATTTTATGCCACTAGCGGTTCCCCCTCTGGAACTTGGCAATATTTTTCCCTGCGCAGGCACTGCTGGCTGGTACGGCAGAGATTAAGGCTGTGTGTGCAGGATTAACTCATTGAGGAACAGAACATAAAGGTGGCCACACAGCAGCAGCAGAGCTAGGAGGCGGATAGCGGAGAGCTACAGTGACACAGCAGATCAATTCTTGATCCAGGATGATCCCATAAAAGAATTGCCAGCCAGGGGTACATTTGGGGTGCACACAAAGACACTGCCGAGACCAAAGGGCCCTCTGAGCCCATTGGGCTGGGAATAGGGACACACAAGCTGGGGATGATGATGATGTTGAGAAGCATCATAGGATGACAGGAGCACCTGGCATCATGATGTGGAGCGGTGACCGGCATATGGCACCTAAGCCCAGCCAATGCACACAAGTCATTATTTACAGCTGGACTAAGTCAATCTGTAACTGATGTGATCTTCATCTATCCTTCAGAAAATATAAACTAAAACCCAGTTTTACTGGAAAACTGATCCAAACCCATTAAAGGGGTCATATGATGCTTTTTTAAAGATCATTATTTTGTGTATTTGGTGTAACAGAATATGTTGACATGCTTTAATGTTCAAAAAACACATTA